ATTCTGAGACATGTTTGCCCATGTTCAAACAAAACAAATCGAATTTTTTGCGTGGATGTGTGACAATGTATGAAACATGGATCCATCACTTCACCCTGGAGTCAAAACGATCGTCATCTGGGTGGAGAGCAACTGGAGAACCTTGTCCAAAGTGCCCAAAAGCACAACAAATCGGCTGGAAAAGTTATGGCCTCGGTGTTTTGGGATGTGCTTGGTGTAATATTTGACTTGAGAAGGGAAATACCATCAATAGTGAATATTATTTTCTACTATGCCACAGTTTTCTTACAGCCCCTTGAGACTCTTGAGAAATGATTCCTTATAGCCCCTAACGACCCTGAGAGATGTATTTTGACCTGGGAGACCAGAGCATACGTAGGGACACAGTGGGGTCCAATGATTGTGGGGTCCAATGACACAGGGACAGTGGGGTCCAATGATTGATGACCCCAATGTCCAATGACATTGGACCCCACTAGACATATTACCTTGTGTCCCTCTGGATGCTCTGGTCTGCCAGGTCGAAATACATCTCTGAGGGGGTGTTTAGGGGCCTACGAGGGATTATTTCTCAAGAGTCTTAAGGGGCAGTGAGAAAACTGCTGCACAGTAAAAAGCTATAGAATGTTCGAATAGTTGAAGGGATATCTCAAAAGTGAATATTGTATGGCGTTATTGGAGCGTTTGAAGGCGGAAATTGCGGAAAAACGACCCTATTTGAAGAAAAATAAAGTGCTGCTCATCAAAACAATGCACAGTGTCACGAATCAATGAAAACGGTGGCAAATTTGCATGAAATGGGCGTCAAATTGCTCCCGCATACACCATATTCGCCAGATTTGGCTCCCAGTGAATACTGCCTGTCCGCAAACCTCAATAAAATGCTCATCGATAATAAATTTCGCTCGAATGAAGAGGTTATTGTTGAAGCTGAGGCATATTTTGAGGCAAAGAAAATCGTTTTACAAAAGTGGAATATATTGTCTGCAGGTGTCGCGACGGCTCTTTCTGCAGGTGGAGTTATGACTAGTTGGAAAGAACTTCGTTTGTTTGGAATATTCAGACGGTTAATTCCATCTGAAATGACCCACCTGGCACTGACGCGGAGCTAGTACTCCGAAACATGTGTCTGTCTTTGGTCATCACGAACAAAATGAAATTTATTTCAGCGTTTCATGATTGTGACGAATGTTTCAAATGGAAGGTGTTGCACATGAGTCTTACGGTTTTATTTAAACAATTTTTATGGCGTCAGCTGGGTTTGTTGTTTTTTTCCATCGGGTATCAGCTACCAAATTTTTCTAGAACTTGGGCATTCAACCGCACACATAACTATAATACAAGATTGAAGAAGACGTTAAATTAAACAGTATGAAGATGCTAAAATCTTGAAATACAACATTATCATTATTAGTAGGACCTTTTATAATTAGGGCAAATATCTCAGTAGAAACATTAAGATTGACATTGTATTTGTATTAGATAACAAATTATTTCAACCTGTAAACATGTAAATGTATTTCATAAGTTGTAGCTTCAGTCTATTTTGGTTATGATGACTTGTGTAGAACTAACTCAATGTTCAATAGCAAACTGTTTTATTTTATCTTATTCTATTCCAAAAAGCGCAATAAAAAGTCAATGATAACATTATTTTTCAAGGGATTAAATGATTTCAATAATCTTGCAAGTAATGTGAAATATTCACCGTCATTAAATATTTTCAAGTCATCTAAATAAATTACTAGCGAACGGAAAACATTTGAGAAAGTTAATTATGAAAAGCTATTGATTTTCTCATTGTTATTGTAGTAGGTTGTTTCTGTTTTAATGTTTATGTATCTCCATATCTCAATAAATATTTATTGTACTGAGTCGTGGCTTATATTGATCGATAGAGAATTTCGTATTCTATACCTCAATATTGTTAGTTTTTTTTTTTTAATTTTAATATTTGATTAACCCAAAGCACTGCCGAAACAGCTCGAAAAACTTCAGAGGGAAAATAAAGCAGTTAATTTATTTTGGAGTGCCTCAGGGATCTATACTTGGACCCTTATTATTTTGCGTATACACTTGTGATCTAGTTTCTGTTTTAAGACATTGTAATTCACATATGTATGCGGGTATCATATCACAACTATATCATTCAACCCCAGTGACGTTGCTACTGCTAATCGAAAATTGAATGAAGATCTAGCTCGTCTTATTTCAGCATCTGAAGCTCATAACCTCAAAATCAATTCAAACAAAACTAATCTGCTTGTTTTTGGTACTAATCGTGGTGGGTATATTAATATTGTTATTGGTGATACAGTAATATGCCCCGGGAACGTGGCAAAAAATTTAGGTATCGAAATGGACGTAAATTTAAGGTTTACAAAACATGTCACAAAATGTGTTCAGAGACATGAGTTTTGAGTTATTTATTATCAATAAGTTTGAAAATAAAATTAACAAATGCGCTTGTGTTGAGTCATTTTGCATATTGTGATGTTGTGTATGGTTCATGCCTGGATTGTGTTTTACACTCGGCCACTCTCTTCTATAAAATATCAATAAACAAATGTCCATCATATTTGTATAACCAAAATAATATTTCGTAGGGATGTACATACTTTAAATTTGAGGTTTAAAGGGTTACTTTGCCCTTCGCCCCTTCGAACGACTGTATTTCGACGATCTTTCAGTCATAACATATATATATATATAGTTTGTATAATAATATTCCACAAAAATATAAAGTTAGTGGAGTTTCTTTATTTGAGTGCTCTTACAAAAAATATCTCATCGCTGCTGAATCAGAAAGTCATTGATTTCATAGATTCATTCTTCTGAGAAATGTTCAGTATGAACATTCAACATGTTTTCTATCTCTCTCTCTCTCTCTCTCTTCCCTCTTTCCCTTTTTTTCTCCCCTTTTTTTTCTCTAGTTTAGTTTTCTCTTCTTCAGGGCTATAACTAAGATCAACAGTATCCTTCCGGTACCTCATTTGTAGTTTTTAAAGTTTTATAGATTGTTACTGAAGAAGACCCCTTGCATTGGTTTATTCTTGTGATCACGCATAAGTAAGGTGATCTCTGCGGCTTTTATCTGAGCTTTTTGCTGAACAGGTTCCAACTCGGTGACAGATTTGTGGTCACCTCGTTCAGAGTCGAAAACTATACCGAGTTCATCAGCTGCTCGGGCAGCTGCCTTAAAAAGAAATGCTCCAGTTCCTGCTCTCTCATGGTCACGGACCATGCAGAGAAGGGGATCCGAACTCCTGACGACTTTACAGGCTGTATCCAGTACCATTCTGTCATGTAGACACTCCAAACTCAAAAGTCCACGGCCTCCCTGTTGTCGGGGGAAGTACAACCGAGGAACAGACGATTTGGGATGCAAACTCTTTTAGAGATGCATCATTTTTCGAGTCTTTACGTCGAGTTGATACAGCTCCTCCCGAGTCCACTTCACTACTTCAAACGACTAGAGTAAGATTGGAACGGCAAGCATATTTGTTGCAGCAACTTTGTTCTTCCCCGACAGTTCCGATGACCAGATCTGTGGAAGTTTGTACTGATACTTGCCGCGGAGTGAGTTTTTCATTGCTGTTACCTCTTGTGAGTGGCGTTGTTCCACCCCGAGGTAAGTATACGTCTCTCCGGCATCCAGATGGTGTAGTATGCTTCCATCTACGAGCTGCACATCCTTTCTTGACATGGACCATTGCACATTTGTCTATCCCGAATTTCATACCGATAGCATGCGTGTACTCTTCCACCACCCTCAAGGACTGATGGAGATCCTTCTCTCCAGAGACATAAAGTTTAAGATCATCCATATAAAACAGATTGGTGACCTTGTGCCTCCGGTTTCCGGGGGTGCTACAGTTATACCCGCGAGTATTTCTGAGCGCAACGATAATGGCAATAGTGAGATGCAGAAGAGAAAGGGACTGAGGGAATCACCCTGAAATATACCCCTTCTGAAAGTGACCCACCCTGTTTGGACTCTTGCTTGACCAGATGTTATGGTGAAGCGAGTTCGCCAAAGTGGTATCAGTTGTTCAATGCATCTCACTATTTTGTCGGGTACCGCAAGGCATCTGAGCAAATGCAAGATGAGCTCATGCGAAATTGTATCAAATGCTTTACGGTAATCGATCCAGGCCATAGAGAGGTTACGCTTACATTGTATCGAGTCCTGCGTTACACATCTATCGATGAGCAGGTTCTTTTGACTTCCAGCGACTCCTCTCTTCGACCCTCTCTGCTCATATATCCGTTCAAACACTCGGTCAACTGCGGTGAGTATTCGTGTGTATAAGATGCTTGTAAACAACTTATAACACGAATTCAAGCACGTTATCGGTCTAAAATTCTTAGGAATCGACAATTCTTTGCTTTTGGGGATAAGAACGGTATTATTATTATTAAAAAATCAACCAGGCATTTGGCAATGACTGTGTTAATGAACGCAGTTCGACAAGAATTCAGCCTCGAAGATAAGCCCCGAAGGATTTTAGGACCATGGTGGAGAATAAACTTCCTGAGAACGTTTTCCTAAACGAATTTAATCTTCAGCGATTCAAATTGAACGTGAATCTCAACTTTCGCACAGACGCCTCTCTTATAGCGCCTCAAGGAGTTTCCTGTAGTGTTTGTGTTTTGTCCCAGACAAAAACGGCCTTCGTCGACTTGATCAAATCCCGAGCACTCAATTTTCATACTGACGGAATTAATCGACTTGTGTTACGTTGGCAAAAGTGTTTTGATTCAAATGACGCTTATTTCGGTGGATCTGAATCAGTATTCTCCGAGGTGTTACAGTTTAAAGTATACTTAAAAAACGGACTAAACTTTTCAAACAACCTAATATTTGTGTTTTGTGTAATTTAGCTATTGATTGTTAATGAATTCAAACTTGTGATATTCAACAATTTTGTATAACGGGGATTATACTACCTCCAAAAATAAGCATTATATTTTTTTTCAATATGTTGTTTTTGCTCCAGGTGACTTGTATCAGAGGCAACCACTGCTGCCAAACACTAGCAGAGATAGCAAGTGGGGCCACAGCGCGAACGATCCATTGGAAATCGAGTGTTACGACGATGACGAAGAAATCATACAGAAGAGCACGGAAAGAAACGGTCACATTGCGATCGACCTGCCCTCTCCAGCCAGAGAGGAACCCCGTTTTCCACAGGAAAAGTGTAAAACGCTTCTGGGTGAGTTGACGGAACTACCAAAATATATGTGAACTGCTCCATTTTGATATAGGCAGAGAACTTCCAATGATAGAAATTATCTCTTCTTCTTCTTCTTTTTTATCTTCTGCTTATTAGTTTCCATTTTGGGAGGACCATAACTTAGAGGTCACTCACTAACACGTCATATAGAGAGAACAAAATCCGAGCTAGTAGGCCTTGGTCTACAACCCATCAATCTAAAATTATTTACGTCAGAAATATTTTCACTACAGAGATTTTTGAGAAAATTATTGTTAGGTTGGACATAATATTCCGTAGAAATTTCAATACAAAATGTCACTTTGACAATGGCGAATGTTCCTCAATTTGGGTTATTACAGCAAATGCAAGTTTGAACAAAATGAAGTTGAGTTTAATTCTTGAGTTTTTCAAATTCACTTCGAAAAGTATTCAAATTGATGTTTCAAATGTTGGGTTTTAATTTTTAAAGGGATTTGTTTCTAATTCACATATTGGCAACACAAGCCACATAAACAACAGTTGTTTTGTTATTTATTTATATAGAGAAAGATAGGTTAGGTGCACAAAATGTCATATGTCACAGAATGTCTCGGAACTCGGAACATAAGTAAACAGAACAGCACGCCTCTGAAATATGTCATCTTTGTTTGTCCCATACAGGTAACAGATTCATTGTTCTTTATTAGCTATAACCGATGTTGCCAAATGGTGAAATAGAAACGAATCCCTTTAAATGTTGAATGCATCATTTCATTCCTCTTTTTTAAGAATTTAAATATTTTTTTAAAGAAAAAGGTTGAAATGATAAGTTTAAAATGCGTTGTTTTAGAGCTCTTTTATGTAAACTACTTGATTTTCGTCAGGAGGAACATTTCCCATTCTTTGTTTTCCTAGGGTTTGGCACCGCCACCTTGTGGCAATGGTCCTCTCAAATCATTCTATCAATCCTCCCAATCTTCTCTTTAGCCTAGCTTTCTATACCGATATATTTGTTCTAGCTCAAGTTCTCCTGGATATTTTCCTTTTTCTTATTCTTCTTTTCAACAGATCTACTTCTTTCTGGTTGCTTATACCATTGAGAAATGTTAAACCGAATTATTCCACTTTGTGTTGGAGTACAGAAAAACGTTACAAATCAAAATAAATGTATTTTCTAAAACTATATTATTCCAATCTCCAGAAATGTTGAATCTCTGTCAAATATTTCCTTTCGGGGGGGTATACAGAAGGGGAACCCTCTTTCTTGAGAATTCATAAGAAGTATCAATTGATATTTTATAGATATGTGACAGAGATATCAAGAGACTTTTATGAGTTCATTCATTCAAGTTGATATTTTTGAAAATCAGTTCGAAATTATGAAAATTGAGCTCATAAGTTTTTTCAGATTGTGACCAAAATATTGAATATTATGTTGAATTGGGTTGGATATCACGGATACAGCTGTTTAAAGAAATACATTCACATATTTACTTTTTTCCAGTGATTAATTAATACTTAAAAGTAAAATTAAGTCAATGACATTAACATTATTTATGATAATAATTAAAAATTTTCCCAGTAAAGACTTTATTTCCATTCAATCGATCCTCGCCTCCCTTTTATCTGCCCCATATGAGCACGGTCGCGAAACTGCTTCTCTATTTCGCTTATTTCTCATGAAATAGGCGAGCTCCTTCCTGTTGTGTTCAGATTTTATCTCCGTAACCAATCATCTGTAAAACTGTTTTATGCATCTCCGTTAATCTAACCATTTGTCAGACTTGAAGTTAATGAACTTTAAACTTAAAATACTGACAACTAATGTTGTAACTTACAAAACAAGTGACAAGGCGTTTAAAACTAATGTTGTCTTGGAAATTATTTACAGTTTTTTAAAGGATACCATCTAAAAAGAACATTGCTATGGTTTTTGCTTACTTTCTTATTATCAATACCTCAACATGAAATACATTTAGAGTATATTGCAATAAGTATATCGAATTTTGGTCCAATCACAATTAAAGAAGTTGCTGAGGATGTCGGAATATCGGTTGGCTCATACCATGAAATTTTTTTTGAAAATTTTGGGCATGAAACATCACCATAATGCACCTGCTTGTTCGTAATTTTTTGGCCAAAATCACCGTAATCATGCCTCAGCCACCGTGTTCATCAGATTCAGCCCCCTACGACTTTTTCCCATTCCCAAGATTGAAGACACACGAATGGATGGCGTTTTGCGACGATTGAGGAGATAGAAACTGAGAGGTCAAAGACATACCAAAAAGTGCATATTAGAACTTGTGAACTGCTTGTGAAAATTTGTAATCATTATCAAGAATTTTAAAATTAAAGCAAGACAATAATGTTTCTCTAATCTTGTCAAAGATCACAATGCAAATAGTTTTGAAATCAAAAGCGTGAAAGACATTTAGAATGTATTCAGTTATGGATTTTTGAAGACATTAATAGATTGTATTTTATTCTGTGAAAGCTTTTCAAAATCAAAATGAGTTTTTTTTTGTTTTAGCCGCCATCATCATGATGTTCAATTTTGTTCTGACTCTCACCTCGCTGAGTCTTGTTCACGAGCGAGTGCCCAACAAAGAGGTTTACGGGCCTCTTCCAGATGTGTTCCTCGACAACGTACCTGCTTATGCCTGGGCTTTAGATGTATCAGAGTTCATCATTATATTTTGTGTGAATACAAGCATGATAGCTATGATATTTCACAAGCATAGGTGAGTAACGTTTTATGTTAATTTTGAATGTTATGAACTCTACACCACACCTTACACTGGATTTATTGAATATTCATTAGCTTGATAGAACGTCAAAATGAAATTGTGAATGATTGAACTTGTCTTGTCCCACACCTGACACCAAATTCATGATATCCCCTCCTAGCTCGATATGATCATATTCACTCAGCTAATTGTGGTTTTCTTTTTCAGATTCATCGTATTTAGAAGAATATTTTTACTAATGTCCTTATTGTATATGTACCGAGCCATTACTATGTATGTAACGGTATTGCCTTTGTCAAACCCGAGTTATCCTTGTTCACCCAAATCGAACGAGACGTCCCCCCTCATGATCGCCAAGCGGGTGGTGAAGCTGATGTCTGGTCTGGGGCTCTCTCTCAACGGACAGCATGTCTACTGTGGAGACTTTATCTATAGTGGGCATACTGTCATCTTGGTGTTTACTTCCTTACTCATATCTGAATGTAAGTATTTTGATCCATTATTTAACTGTAGTGAAGTTGCAGGGTCTTCAGCTAGTCAATTCATTTTTAATTTTTGTAGATACACCCAGAAAGTTGTACCTTATCCACTGGTTATACTGGCTGTTATCGTGTGTGGGTATCGTAATGCTGGAGCTATCCCATGGGCATTACAGTGTGGATGTTATCATAGCTTATTTCATCACCACCAGATTGTTCTGGACATATCACACTTTGGCAAATAATTCCAGCTTGAAAGTAAGTATTCTGTTTTGCCACCTTTTTTTGTTATTAAAACAACTTTTGGAAAAAAATTAATTAGTTTATGGAGGCATGAAATAGATGCTGGGCATCTTCAAAACATCAAGCTATCAAAATTCAATCTGTCATAGTCATTAACTGTTCTCCGCTGTGGATCGATACCGTCAACTTCAAAAGATAAATATTCTAAGAACTTTTTATGCGTATTTTTGATCCCAATAATGTGTGAAGCACAGTCAGGACTCTATATAGTAGAACAATATTCTAACTTTGACCTAACATAACAGATACATAAAATCTTCAAAGCTATAGAGTTTAATTTCTGCAATTGTGCACTTAGTCTAGTTCACATGTACTCGATTTAGCTCTTTTTGGTGACATTTTTCAGCCCTGTTCAAAAATTACGACCAAGGTTTCATTCGATTCGTATTTTTGCCTAGAAAGTTTAAGGAAAGGTCCGAAAACGCGCCGATAAAAATTACAAAAGTTATAAACAATCAAGAGAAGAAAAAAAGGGGCTTTAGTTTTTTCTTAATATCTCGGAAAATTTTCAAAATTTTGGAAATTTGAAAAAAGATTTGAAAAGATCAATGAATTTGCGTAAAAAAAGTCCCGACTCTCGAAACTGTATCTCGATTATTTATAATTTTTACAGAGCCCTGAAAATAGAGCCAAAAGCGGGTAGTCTGGCTTTCGCGCGCCTTTCGTAACTCTGACATAAAAACAAAAAAAATTATTTAAACATATTAAATGTAAATATTAAGGAATGAAAAAATTCATGTAATGTTGGGATACATCAATAAACAATAATCCGCAGTCAAAAAATTTTCATCCTAATTTTAACGTTAATTATAAATTTGTTAATTAATAACTTTTTCTGAATTGAAAGTTANTCAAAAATTCATATCTCCAAAAATGTTAAGTTTATCAGAAAAGTCAGCATTTTTTTATTTGTACTTCAAAAAATTGTCCGGTTGAAAAATAACAATTCCTTGCAATTGGCAACAATGTGGCACAGGGTTGGCCTGAGGCAAATTCCGGTACTTCTGTGCCGATTCCTCCTGGACTAATTTCTTCTTCTCAACTTCGGTAATGTTTTAATCATTTCACCTTTTTTTCAGCAACGCTCCCCCAACAACTTACTAGGTCGCGAGTGGTGGTTCGGGCTGTTCCTCTATTTCGAGGGGAACGTTGGAGGACCGCTGCCGAGAAAGTTCAATTGGCCTCTGCCCTGGCCTCGGAGGTGGCACTTGAAAAGCCGGGCCAGTTAGTGAACGCCTCCGGCTGTCGTCACGCGTAAGGACTCTTTGAATATGTGATAAAAATAATGTGTAATGCCTTACTAACTCGAATATCCTGTGCTCTTCATATACATACAACTATATACAAAGTGTTGATTTTGCTGGTGGTGATGTTTTCAGTCTGTCATTGTTATCAGAGTTTTCTTGGAATTTTTATACATGTATTTTTTATTGGTAGTTTTTAACTATTTCTTAGACGTTTAAGGTGAAATTTGTATAGTTGAAGAGAATTCGTATTATTTTATTTATAGAAAACTTGTTACGCTTGGGTAAACGTTTATTCAAACATTTTTTTGTGTTTTAACTTGCCAAAATCTCTGTGAAGCTTCATTTTTCCCTGTAAAAATTTTCAACAGTACCCAAAACCGTCTTGTTACATAGATGATACATGGATGTTACATATTTTTCAATTAACCATTATTACTCCACAGTTTTTTTTCACAAAGATCAGCATCCTATTATATTTCGATAATCAAGTTCACAATATCGATTTATTTGGGTCTGATACAGTAATTCAGAAATGATTTATCTTCATTTCGTCTGTTAATGATGTACAGAAAATTATTGATATTCTTCATTATCATCAATAGAAATTGAAACACAAATGGTACGCTACTACATATTACAATTTGCTCAAAAATGATTTAAGAAATGTTTACCAAGAAATTAATTTGCTGTAATGAATTGACATCAACACTTCGTTATATCTCTGTTACATTCTAAAGATTTGGAATGAATTATTTGGTTATTTGAAAAGGTATTGAAGAGAGGTTTCAACTGGTGTATGCAGATTTTGAAGTGTCATTATTATTCATCCATTTTTGTTACAAATAATATTGAAATTCTGTTCTATTCAACAACTATTTGATTTATGAAACTCATTCCCGTTAGACATTCAAAAAGTTTCAACTTGGGAATACTCAAATCAGATCTCTGTATTTTCATGTGAAAATAGAAAGCTACATGCTTTTGTGGAAAATAGGATGGAATTTTTTCAGGGGACTAAATAGTCACGTCATTGTCAACTGAAAAAAAGAGGTAAGATATCCTAATACACTCAATATATTGAAAAAAGTTTCTAGTACAGGATTACTGTGTTTCATTATAAAACAGTTGTACTTCATATATCTGTGAATGATGATGAAACTACAGTATCAAAAAGTGATTCTTACATACACTGTGTATTCCTTTACTACGAGATCACACTATTTCCAAAACTGGAAAAAAAATCTAACCTCCATATTCTGAAATATTCAAGTTTCTTCAGTTTATCCGACAAACTCTCTTGTAGCTTCAGAAAACTTTACTGTGGTAATATCTAAGAAACAATGCAGTAACGATGAATACCTACATTAAACTTAGAAACAGGTTGGAAAATGATTAGTTCAGACATTTCCCAAGCAATTGAAAATTGTCATTGAATTAAAAAAATAATCCTCCTTGATATCTAAGTTACAAAAATCGGACAAGTTCATGTTGCTTGGGTGTTCTTCTCATTTCAAATATCCCTTTGTTTATTATTGGTTTGATTTGAATATTCTTAGTTCCTTTTTTTTCAACGTCTTATTCATTATGTACCTAGTTTTTTATTATGTAATATTTCAGTTACATAATCCCATTATGATGAATCGACAGTTATATCAAATAAAATCATGGTTATAGCCTTGTTACTTCTCTGTTACATTCTGATGATGTACGATGAAAAATCACATGGTTATAGCCTCGTTACTTCTCTGTTACATTCAGATGATGTACTATGAAAAATCACAAATAATAATTGAGAAAGTAAAAAAGCTACAATTGAAACCTGTGGCTTAGAATAAATCCAAAACGAACACTTTTCCCAGTCACTAGAACTGGAATACTCTTCTTGACGAATTCAGGAGAAACGCGCATCGAGAAAAGTATTGCAGTTCTGGTGATTGAAAAAAGTGCTTGTTTTGCAACTGAAAAAGTAGTCTACACTCAAATGTGGTGAATTTTAATACATTTATCAATAAATCATTCCCGAGCATACATGTAACATTCATGTAACAATGTTACGTTTGTTCAAGCTGAGGGAAACATGGCTAAAAATGTGTAAAGGTGATTTCTTTGAATTCTCTTCTTATACATTGATAAATGTTTTATTGAGAAATAAACCTGAGCAGAGAAAACTGTTTGAAGAAATGATTGAATAAAAATTAATTCCAGGCAATTTTTAGTGAGGAATGTATATGGTGTAGCATTTGAGGTTTGAAAAATGTGATAACATAACAAGTAATGGAGTTTTCTCTGACTCGGTAACAGATAATTGGGAACATCTCGCCTTTTTCAAGCTCCAAATGGGATATTGTGTCATTCCAGGTTTTCTGTTGATTCATTTTGTTTGGGCACTATTTGACATATGTGCCAACCAAAAAATGTACTTCTTTATGTGAATTCTGCTTAGGATATTAACAAAAAGGAAATTGAGCTCTGAGTGTAATGTGTTTGTAATACTTTCAACCAATCAAAAAACTTTGTCTTTGCTAGTGGTATTTCTGGGAAGAAATGCCGGGTACACTGGTGATTGCTTTCAGATTTGTGATAAATGCGGATATATTTTTTTAGATACATTGAATAGAATTATCTGTACTGATTGGTGTTGCGCGTTTCGGATCGAGGCTGAAATTCACGAGAAAAAAGTTGTTAAGACAATAATCGAAGTCGACATGAACGCAAACAGGGTAAGCATTTCTCCCTTTCTGCCAGTCAAATCGAAAACCGTTTTCTTGTGAAAATATAGTGTAAGCCCACCTGGAAGTTGTATATTGTAAGAATCAAACATTATGTTTCAAGTTGTTGGGAATCTCAGATTATTTATGTTGAAATTTGCAATTCTATCCCCATTGAAAGTTCTTGTGAATTGTTGTAATGAACCATTACATTTTTATTTTTAATAAACGTGTCTGGTTGAAACTGTCTTTTGATTTCATAATACATCATGATCAGTTATAAATACTTACAAAAAGTTATTGTTCGAAACATGTACAAAGGTGGATTTTTATTTTTCTCAGAAAATATTCATTCATCCATTTCTATTTTGTCCCTTTCAGAGTGGTCCCATTCATATATGATACACTTGTGCATGCGTTTTTTCCAATCCTTGAAGCCTTCTCATATGCACTCATCTTTTTGATCGTCGCAAAAAGCCGTACTTTCATGGATCTCTTAAATCTTGGGAACAGAAAAAAGTCGCAGGGGACCAAATCTGGTAAATACGGTGGCTAAGGCAATATTACAGTGTTCTCAAATCATATCCATTATACAAGAAATGAACATAAGATATACTTACCGTGAGCTAGGAAAGCAATTGGACAGAGATACTTTGCGTATATTGCACCACGACTTATAGAAAATATCCCAAAAGCCCTGAAAATTTCATACATTCTCATCCTTTCAAGAAAAAAACTAGAAAAATTGGTTGATATCTTCTGATAGACACACAATTTATGCTATTATTTTCCCAAAAAATATGTAAACTCCATGTATAAATATGAGAGTATATATGTGTATATAATACTCACCATATTCTTCACTTGGTTGGTTCTTGGTCACTGACCCTTTACCCAGTCACTGAAAGTTTGAAATTATTCCAAATGTAAAGGTAAAACTTCTTAAAGACAAGCTTTCCTGAGCTTTTTTGAGGTTCCTTTCGAAATCATTGCAAATGTTAAGCTGAAACTCCTCAAAGACATGCTTTCTCAAGCTTTTTTGAGTTATCCCTCAAAGACAAGCTTTCCCGAGCTTTTTTGAGGTTCCTTTTGAAATCATTGCAAATGTTAAGTTGAAACTCTTCAAAGACAAGCTTTCTCAAGCTTTTTTGAGGTTCCTTTTGAAATCATTGCAAATGTTAAGTTGAAACTCTTCAAAGACAAGCTTTCTCAAGTTTTTTTGAGTTTCGTTTTGAAATCATTGCAAATGTCAAGCTAAAACTCCTCAAAGACAAGCTTTCTCAAGATTTTTTGAGGTTCCTTTTGAAATCTTTGCAAATGTTAAGCTGACATTCCTCAAAGACAAGCTTTTTTGAGGTTCCTTTTGAAATTATTCCAAATGTTAAGGTAAAACTCCTCAAAGACAAGCTTTCCCGAGCTTTTTTGAGGTTCCTTTTGAAATCATTGCAAATGTTAAGTTGAAACTCTTCAAAGACAAGCTTTCTCAAGCTTTTTTGAGTTTCCTCTTGAAACCATTGCAAATGTCAAGCTAAAACTCCTCAAAGACAATCTTTCTCGAGCTTTTTTGAGGTTCCTTTTGAAATCATTGTAAATGTTAAGGTGAAACTCCTCAAAGACAAGCTTTTTTGAGGTTCCCTACGTTTGTATTTCATCAGTTCGGACTTCCATTGTTCAATATAATATAAATTGATTTGAAAACCCTGAAAAAATTTATAAAAATTAATAAGATTAACCGAAGATAACAATTTTATTAAACAAAAAACTGAAATTACAAAGATATAACATACAAGAACAACCAAACAAATAAAAATTGAAATATTAATAAAAGCTGAAAAAATTTAAAATTTTATTAACAAAAAATGAAAAAATAAAAATTAAATGATTTCAAACCAAGTTATGTCACAACGTTTCGATTGTTAGAATCCACAATCGTCTTCGGGTGACAACAGGCATCTAGATGCCTAAGAGAGTGTAGAAATAAGTAAACATAATGATATTATGAATAACGATGGTGGACCAATATCCAATAGTATACTATATAGCTTGTTATAATAATACTTTATTTATTAGATTCATCTGACTATTACATAAGGACACATTGTAAAATTAATTTAGGACTAGTAGATAGGGCAATATTGTGAAATTACATTTTATATAGCTTTTATAATATTTTAATTATTAGATTCACCTAACTATTGCATGAGGACACATTGTAAAATTAATTTCAGACTAGTAGATAAGGCAATATTGTGAAATTAATTTTATATAGCCTATAATATTTCAATTATTAGTTTACCTGACTATTTTATAAGGACACATTGTAAAATTAATTTGAAATTAGTAGATAAGGCAATATTGTAAAATACATTCAAGACACTCAAGACGCAGGTAATTAGAACAGGTATATATGGTATAAGTAAGGATAGCTTTGTAAGTAGGATTAGTTTGATCTTCCTCTTGAAGATGATCACTTGGTGATCGAAACACGTGTCGAGGTGTTGAAACAACGGTTTGGTGTTGGGACTCCAACTTCAGAAATATTCACGTCTGATGGAATTGGTATATCAGGTGTTGACAGATTAATTCTGTTAAACGATAATTTTATATTATTCAACCTCATATCAAATACAAATATTGAGACTATGAGTGGCAATTTTGCTGTGAGAATGTTATAAATAAAGGAGAACAGCTTACTCAATTACATCCACAAAATTCAATAGTGAAATTACGGTGAAAGGATAATTCAAGCACTAGAACAGATAAGATTATTCGGTGAAAATTACACATGAGTAACTTGATAGCTAAAATTATCTGATACTGATACAGTTAAACTGAAAAATCGGTGGTTTGACGAAGTTTCACATCAGCTTGTCCGTGAAGAAGGTTCCCATTTTATTGGATAATTGCGCTTATGAATGCATAGGAGCTGGAATATTTGCCCTCTAAAATGTTCCAGAACAGTCCAAAATATTCGAGAGAGCATAAAGGTATTCCACAACATTCCAGAATATCCCAGAACATTCTGAAATGAGGTGGAATGTCCGGTAATAAGCTGGAACGTTCGGGAATATCCCCGAACATTCCAAATCGTTAGCGAAACGATCTTGGGAGTTATGTGTTTAGGTAGCCCTCTATTCTCCATCCATGAACTACGTGAAAACCCTCTTTTTGAAGATATGAGGGCTAGAATTTTCACTTTCTAGAAAATTCATTTTTGAAATAAATGGCCCAACGGATGCCAAGATGTTATTATTGCACTCTGCTTTTACTTCACTACGATTACTTTGCTTATAATTGAATTTCATTTTTTCGTTGAAAGAAGCAAGTAACTGTTTCGAGAAGGCCTTTTCTTTCAGTTTGTGTCTGAAAGTTACTTCTTTGCATGATCTACACATTTTTGCTTAAAGTTAATTCTTTTTAAATTGATTGCTTCCTTCCTTTTTTGAAAGATTCCCACAATTTTTTGTATAAAGATAGAAATGTAAAAAGTCAAAACCTTTCTTTTCCAAAAATTCATTTCTCCTAAAAATATACACCTTTCGATTTAGGCAAGTTATATTCTTGAAAATTTCTTTGTTTTGTTTATTTGCTTGTAGAAAGAAACTGTTACGTTTGCTTGCAGTTAAAAATACCTTACGAAATGAATGTATCTCAGTTATAAAATGAATATTTTCATTTGATAGCTCGTTCCCTGGACTTTTATGGTGTGTGTATTTTTCAAAGAATCATATCCCCTGGATGGTGTCAACTTGATTCTAGAAACGCCAATAATACTTTTTCAACAATTCTGATCTGTCGGAAAGTAATATCTTCAAATTATCCGGCTCAATATTTCTTGCCCTCAATTTTATCGCTCATTCGAAAATAATTATTCTGAGTTATGTAATCTGTTAATACAAATAAATATGTATGATTTCAATAGAATATCATCCTTTACCATTTTTTTCCGAATATTTCATCAGTATCAATATGTAAACATCTGAAGCAAATGTGAAGTATGTAAACTAAATTTTTTTTAGTTTGCTGCATTCCCCATATTATTATCTAATGAAGTAGAAGTTACTGGATTCCCCACTCCAACCCTTTTCGCGTCCAACAAATTTTTAAGTATACAAAATTATAATTCCTGCTAAAAGACCTAAATTATTCAGTCATAAAAACTAAAGGGACCAATAGGACACATGCTTTTTATTTCGAAACATGTATTCTATTCGTCTGCTCGTTGTTAAATAAGGGATTGGCAACCAGAATTTCAGCCGCACCTAAAAACTACTTCCAGAGATCTATTCTCTCAACGTTTTCGGCCATTTTATCTCGTTTGATTCCAAATAAGTTCTGATATAGATTCAGAGATGTATCACTTCGAGTTTATTATTCTATGTAGAATAACTATTAATTCAAGCAATATCTATGAAAAGGGTAAATACTTTGTTGAACTTTTTTGGGTTTGAAACCGGTCATTTTACTTACATTTTCAATTTAGAAAATCTTTGGTTCTTTTGACCAACGTTCACCTCAAACTTTCTATAGAAAGAATATTGTCTCTATTGATCGCTTGAATGGCGGCGGGAGAAGAGGTTTAGACAATGGGAGCTGCAGGGATATCAAAGAGAAATTATTAGAGCGGGCGAAAGCTTCCTCCCAATATCGACCAGTTTCACGTTCATTGAATATCTAAATTCCATTGAATAAAGTTGATTTTCTACTAAATTGGTGATTTGAGTATAACATATAATTTGAGGTTACAGGAAATATTAATAGAAGACTCTCAGATGAAAATGTTGAAAATTATGGTTATGAAATGTAACATTTTTTAATATTTTTTTTGTATTATTCCATGTTTAGAATATCAGAACTTTTTTCATTTTCTACATAAATCCTAAATTATGTCAATTCTGGAAAGTTCGGATTTCCATTATCTGAAATAGTGTTGACAAATTCGAAATAAAGGAAAAACAAATACAATAAAGGAATGCATTGAATGTTGAAATCATTGAAAACACTAAAAGTAATCAGACCGCAACTAACTAGTTAACTAATTAGCGACAGAACAGTAACACTAACAGACGTAAGGCGAAAAAAAAACTGACCAAAAATAAATGACAAAAATTGTGATGAATTTCATTAGTTCGGACTTCCATTGTCTAATATTATATAAAAATCAGACCGTGCTTTCGGGCTCTGTAATACGAAGGAAGGTCTCGAGAAGGAACTGGACATCATCAAAAATGATCTTCAACGGAA